TGTGTGTAGAATTCTTTTTATGTATGTGTTTTAATAGTCGATTTATTTGTATCAACTTTTATTAGAAATTCATTGCATTAAAAATTAGTATATTTCGTTCAAAATGTTTTCATTTTGTCAATGTAAGTCTGAAAAATTTATATATGTTTTACAAATATAGACATTTTCATGAAATATATTTCTGTTAAAAATGCATTTTTACTTTAACATCAATGTAGCATAAAACATCAACGTTGTGTGTGTGTGTGTGTGTGTGTGTGTGTGTGTGTGTGTGTGTGTGTGTGTTTGTGTGTACGTGTGTGCTTATGTGATTAGAAATGCGATCCTCACGTCTTGAAAAGAGAACGTGATGGATGCGTGATTATATTTGCAGAAATTGAGTGCAGGGATATATAATTCCAACAGCAATTCAATTGCAAACTTACTTCCTGCAAATCAAAATCGATAATAGAAATGTTTATGTACATTTTCCAATTTAGCGGAACAACAGATTTCTATTATCAGAGAACTATATACATATACATTTATCTCTTATACATTATCATGTTTTTAAAACGCTGCGACATTGAGACATTCTGTAAAAGGATTAAATCAGTGCAATTATATTGCAAGTTGTGATGGATTCCAAATACATCGAATCACATTATGTACAACGAAACTATCAAATCGTTTCGAATATTATTCAAAATTAAAAGATTTCTGAAAGTCTTGAAAATCTAGAAAGTCTTTATTATATTTTGAAAATATATCTTTTTTTATGTAATACTTTTTTATATAATACTTTACATTATTTTAATCCGCTCTCAGTTTTATGTCAAGAAAATAATTATAAGCGTCTATAATATAGAAAATAATTTTATTTTTGTGAATTTTAAGATTTTTAAGGACAAATCGGATGACTTGATTCAATCCCATCAGATTTTTTGTCTTGAATGTATTGAAAGTTTTTAATGTTCGGACATTCAGGACATACAGGTATTAACAATTTGTAAATTAAGACATTAAAAGAACTTTTAAGATTTTTCAAGCTTTCAAGAATTTCCAATTTCAAATACAATGTAATACTACACAGAAGCAATTTAGAGCTCTTTATACGATCGAATGATTTCAACACTTTTAAGGAAAAGATACTAGACATAATTATATCGAATTGCGATATTGCACATCTGTTCTTCTAACGTTACGATCTTACATACAGTATTATCACAGAGACAAAGAGCTATGCGATTCCCTAGTGACGCGTTCAAACAAAAATATATTTTCAATTAACTATATTTAGCCCAAAAGGAGCTCTTTCCAGCGCCAATACCATCCAATTTCAATTTGATTGAAGTATATGTTGAGAATAGACAATCCGATGAAAGATAACGTGAAGAACAGAGTCCACAGTTGGAAGATCGGGGAAACGATAAGTAGAAGCACTGTCATCCCTAAAAATAAAATTTATCTTCTGTTATTATTTCCCACGAATGACAAGGAAGATTTTAATTACCTGTTAATATGCTCCAGAATCCGAACGCGATTCGCAACGGCAGCGTTTTCGCCATCGGCCAGATCTGGGTGGTGAATGCCTTCCGTTCATAGAATCCCTGCAGTATCGTCTCTTTATCGGACCACCTGTCCTCCAACCACTTTCTCAAGGTCGAGTCATCATGCGCTAGTATATCCGCGGATGAAATTCGTTTTATATGGAAATGCACCTCCCTCGGGAATTTACCCTTGATCAGATCGATCTCAGATTGCGGTATGTAGTCCGGATATGCTATCGTCAGATCATACACAGCATCGAAATAATTCGCGCGCTGAAGATGCTGGACCAGATAGGCGAAACCGGTCGTTTTCGGGTGGAGGGTATAGGTATAAAGCGGCAGGTGATGCTGCAAGGCGTACTTGTCCGACTTCTCCTTGCTGCTCTTCGTTAGATCGGTGCCTTCGGGGAATATCAGCAGCTGCGTGCGGCTATCTAACGCGATCAGGTAATCGAGCGTACGCGACAATCGGCCCCGATCCTCTTCCCACCGTCGCGTTATATAAAGGAAACCATTCATTTGCATTATCCATCCTGTTACAGATACACGTGTTACAGACGTGAGAGCGAGGAGAGCGTATATATATTATAACTTCGTAAATAATTGACGCTTTGTATATCGAGTTTGGAATGTTACCTGGGCCGGGAATGTGCCGTATAGGATCCTTTAAAATAAATTTCAATTTATGACAACAGACACTGGGCATACACGCTTGATACATCGCTGCCCATAGGAAGTTCCAATCCACCCTCGTTCTGTGATTCATCACGAGCACGGCCGATTCATTAGGAGATATATGATCGCCAGATACGTAGATCTTTACACCGAATGCCTTCAACAGAGCCTAAAACATTTACAATCCCAGAATAAAATTTTAGATTCCACAATTAATAACGATATATTAACAGAATTAGCTAACGAGTTTGAATCTTTATTTTGAAATATACATATATATAATAATAAAATAAAACAAGAGTTTTTAGAAAATCTTTCCTTGAAAGTGTTCGAACATCGGGAACATTTAAAATAAATTAAATTTAAGACAATGTTATGTCTACATATAAAATGTAGAGAGCAGATAGAAATAATAATGTAAAGTGTATAAATTATAAAAGAAAAAAATCTTTAAATATAAATTAGATTTTTATGAATAATTTTGAATTAATTCGATGTTTTCTCTTCTCTGTACGAATTATTATTTATTATTAATTAAATCGTAAACGTAATCTGTACAATTAACAAGATTTGCAAGTACTTACGGTAGGATAAAGTTCCCAGCATGCGAATAGAATGTTTCCACATTTTCGAAATATCGGTGGACTAAACAACAACAGTGGCAAGAGCGGACAGGCAATAAATAAAAAACCTGCCACTATACTACCATACCATAGAGCACAGTATAACGTACCACGTAAAAATCCGCGCATTACAGTCTGGGAGTGGGTATCCTGGAAATAATATGAAATGTATCGGCATGAGGATAAAAATATTACCAATCGTACATATCACGATTTGCGTCTATTCTCAGAAGTCAATTGCTAGTAATAATTTCGCAAGAACGTACACGAAAAAATGATATTTCGCATCCGATATGCGTATAAAAATAAAGATTTAATTTCACATTTCTGCACCAAAAAAAAATAAAAATTATAAACGTGAAACTCACTTTCACATGTGTATCGTGCAATTGAAGCACCTTTTACGAACATTAGATCTTGACTGTTTCCTTATGAAACACTGTGTCTTTACTGGCTTCCTCCTAGTTCTATTAGAGGGATTTCTCTTTTCTACCCCTTTCACCCTCGCTCTTTATCCAACCTCTACCGAGCTAAAGGATGCTGTGTTGGACCATTATTGATCTGTTGAGCATAAAGGCTGTACGATCTCAATGAAGAGATTGGAAACGTCAGTAACTGATAATTAACTCTCTTGTACAATTAATATTTTTATTCCATTTAGCTTTTTAATATCTAAATTTAATATATTTATTTTTAACATTTTTGTTAAAAAAAAATTTATCATATAAATTAGATATACAAAAAATGTATGTATACACGGTTAAAAAAACCATTTAGTATTTATAGTGAACATATAGATCGAAAGCTCAACCGTTTCTGAGATATAAACATTTTTATACGTTAATATCATAAATGATTTACTGACTATGTAGATCCTCATCGATTGATGACAAATGATTGATTGCCAGTGAAATCTTCTGTTATGAAGTATGTATGGAAATTGAATGAGAACATATGGAACGTAGTTTATAAACTAAAGGTACCGAGGTAAACATCGCATCTACATCGCATACGACACGTAGCAGCCAATAAGTTAGTCATGATACTACATACAAAAATGTGTACTATCTACTATCTATATAAATGCTGAATGGTTTTTTTGTATGTACAGGGTGTATTTGAAATAATGCCCATTAATCATACAACGCTATTTTTAATAAAAAAACTGAGTCGAAAAGTCCATTATCAATTTTCGCAATAGTTAAGGAGATATTAATTTTTAAACATTGCTGAATAACCAGATAAAATCGATGTATAAGACAATTTTAAAATATCTCAATGTTCTTTATGAAATATTTTTAAGATTTTTTTTAAAGAACTCTTAAAGATATCTTAAAGTTGTCTTATACGTCGATTTTAGACATTTTGCTCATTGGGTAATTAAAAAAAATATTGCGAAAATTGCAAAATGATAAACAATTTTTCGACTCAGTTTTTTATTAGGAATATATAGTACAGGGTGTCCCATTCATCACCAATTGATCTACTTTTTGAATAAAACTCAAACGGTTGAAGTAATCTTGATAATTTTTTTTTTATTTAAAAGTACAAACGTTTTTTCACCGTGTACTTTTCCATGATTAATTTCCCATCTGTC